GCCAGGCTGGTCTCGAATTCCTGACCTCAGGTGATCCACCCACCTCAGCCTCCCAAAGTGCTGTGATTACAGGCATGAGCCTCCACACTGGGCCCTATGAAACATTTTTAATCAAAATGGTCATTTATAAATAGAATGGGATTAAAAACACACACATTTACCTCCTTCCCTCACATTTAACTCTGCAACTTTTAAAACAATTTGTAATAAAAATATTTAAGAAGTTCCCCTCCTACAAAAAATAAATAAATAAAAGCAAATGGAATTATCAGGCAATGTTTAGGGAGTGAAGAGACACGCTGAAGCTATAGCTCAGAGAACTGATAAAGACAGGTCCTCTGCAATCTAGAAAATGCCTGTGAACTCAGGGAGCTGAAATCAGGAGAAAGCAGTCTCCTGTCCCTGACCACGTAGTTTAGGCACAGTCCTGGCATCAATTAAGCTGAAGATAATTTTAGACACAAAGGATACTTCATTACTTGCCCAAAGTATATTTATTTTGGCTTATAACTTGCTTTGAAAGTTCTGTGTAAATTCTTCTTTATATGTGACTTTTAGTTAACTGATATGCTACTAATCAAGGGTCCTAGCAGTTAAAAATCTGAGGAAGACCAAGTTGCTGTACCTTTGTTTTACATCAGATCACTTTGTAAAATGACAGGAAAAAAATAAGAAGAATTAAACCATCTTATATTTGCAAATACTTTCATGTATCTCATTTAATAAAAAAAAATCAGTTTAGAGATGCACACATTGAAGAAACACTAGAGATTATGTCAGATTTAGAAACACTTTTGTTAGAGAAGATTAGAGTCAGAGGAAAAAGGAACATGTACTTTGCAAATTAGTGACAGTTAAGGTAAAACCAGTGCGTTACAACTTCTGAGATAGTCAGAATGATTTTCCAACCCATCCCAAGAACCCCAAGTAACACTCTGCAATTTGCTATTTCTGTGGAAGTCAGAATACTGGTAACTCACAAAATTATATAAACATATATAAAACTTAACAGTGAGGTGAGATTAAGACTTTCTTCCCAACTTTCTGCAATGACCATCTCACTTAAATATCAACTAATGTAATGTTTAACAGAAGAAACATGAACAACAAGACTGCTACCAGAAAAACAAGTTTATTTTAGCTAACTTTTAAAGAAAAAAAAATAGCTTATTCACTCATTCACATGCTTAATATGCAGAGCAAGCATTTAGAATGAAACCTTAAAATTCCATGAGAAGAAAAAAAACCAATGAACTGGTGAATCTCAGATTGCTTCTTGATTATCAAAAGACAACATGCCAAAAAAAAAAAAAAATTCTGCACCTCCTTCTTTTTAAAATTTTTGCCAGTATCGCAGTTCTTCACAGCTGTTCATTAAAAAACCTGTTTAATTCAGATCTGTTCCCCTAATACTCGTGAAACAAACAGAATTACTGGTCTATTATTACTGAACTAATATTCTCTAGGTTTTTATCTTTTTTTTTAAAGAGCATTTAGAAAAAAACTTTTATAAAGTTTGTATATTGATTTGCTGTTGACCCGCCACCGCTCCTGGCTAATTAAAGGTTTCGCAAACATTCCACACTATCTTAAATTCATACTATAAGGTAGCCCCGAAAACTAGGCCCTATCTCTTCCTCGCCAATTCTATTTAGTAGAGATCACATACGCTCTTCAAGCCAAAATTCCTGTTTTCATTGTAATTTATGAGAAAGAAATGACCCTCCTGTTTGCTAAGTGGATCTTTTCCAACTACCTTCACCTCCTTGCCTGTTCCTTTCATTTTCCTTTTTTTGACATGGAGTTTCACTCTTGTTGCCTAGGCTGATATCATCTTGGCTCACTGCAACCTCTGCTTCCCCATGTTCAAGCAATTCTCCTTCCTTAGCCTCCCGAGTAGGTGTAATTACAGGCACCCGTAACCATGCCCAGCCAATTTTTTTGTATTTTTAGTAGAGATGAGGTTTCATCATGTTGGCCAGGCTAGTCTCGAACGCCTGACCTCAGGTAATTCACCCACCTAGTCCTCTCAAAGTGCTGGGATTACAGGTGTGAGCCACCGCACCCAGCCCCTTTCATTTTCATTCTGTCTACACAGGCTCCCTCTTTTCAGTAAATAAATAAATTCAGAGGTTCTTTCTCCTAAAAATTACCTCATCAGTGAGGAAAGGAGGGAGTGGGGCAGAAGGGCCTGAATCTTTAACCTTTTATAATTTGAGTATTGTCTCTGCTGCTTCATTTAAATTCTTTAAGTGTGCTCATCGTCAAATCTTTCTTCCCAGTCCTCATTCTATACCTCTAACCTAGCCGGCTATATTTCTGTCTCCTTTGCTGGCTCATCTTCCTCCCTAAAATAAAAGGTATTTCCTGAAAATGAGCCTACTCTTTCCCACAACTTCAACTATTCATATTTACCCTGCCCTCTCACTGGCTCTAGTCACTCATTTCCACCCACCTACCTAATATCTCCCTCTGGATGTCCTGCCTGCACCTTCGAGTCACATGTCCAACACCAAAACCCTTACCTTTTCTTCCCTGCTGCCCTAAACCTCTTTTCTCAGCTTCTGGTCACCCAGTCTCAATCTTTGGACAAGGGTACCAAGAAAGGAAAAATAAATTCACTTGCCAGGAACCTAGAGTTTGCATCACATATCTCAACTCTGCCCCCTCTGTTCTATACCACTTTACATGAAACCTCTCATCTGAACTGCTGTAACACTCTCCTTCTGGTATTCTTAACTCAAGTTTTCAGTATACACCATTGCTAGAGAAACATTCCTTAGGCATAATTTTAATCAAGCCTGGCATTCAGGATACTCTACCCAACATTTCTCAAACTTTAACCTGAATGTGAATCACACGGCGATCTTGTTAAAATGCAGACACTCTCATTCAGTGAGTGTGGGGTGGTGCCTGATTCTGGATTTTTAATGTACTCCCAAGAGACGATGATGCTATTAGCATCAGGCTATACATATACACAATCTGCTCTAACCTATTTTTCTAGCCTCATCTATTTCTCCCTGCCTAGCATACATATGTGCATATATGTATATCTCTTACACACACACACACACATATATACAAAGACAAAATGTTCTCCAAACATAATCTCCAGCCTCTGTGCCTCTTGCTGTTTCCTCAAGTCCTGTGACTGTCTGTTAAATTTTACCCATTTTTCAGGAACCAACTCATTCTGCCATAACCTTCTCTTATCTTCTTACCTACCTCACTCCCATACCCCATCTAGTAGAACACCACAAAAACCTTGGGACATCCCTGACACTGGCACTGTTTCTGGTCTATAATGCCATTATAGGTCTTCTCGTTTCATCCTTACTGTTAGACTGCACACTCTCCTGGAAGGCCAGGACTACCTACCTAACCTCTGTCACCTAGGGCATCCTTGGGCTCTTGTTAACCAGTAAGTATCTGCTGAAGTGGCTTTGAATTCTAAGAAAAACAAAACATCTCAACTCTACTTCATGTAATTCATTTTGAGCAGGAGCTTTAGAAATTTCTTTACGATAAACAAAAACACTCTTCCAGGAGAACTGACTCATTAGCAAACCTAAGAAAACTTTGTTCTATAATTATTTTTTGACATATAAACATTCAAATAATGCCCAGAGAATTTCGGTACTTATCATATTTGTAGTAGTCTCCAGGTATATAGATCAGAGTTCTAACACTAATTTAAAATTAAATCTAATTTGTTGCGATCTTGTAATGACTATATTATAAGCCCCAAATATGTTCCAATCCAGGACCTAGCCCTCCCTGGTTTAATTTACTTAATGCTCCTTTTAACACTCCATTTATGAAATGGGACCACACTTTCTCCTCAGATATAAGATTGGGTGTCCCCAAAATTTACTGTTAATATGCCTTATATTTGTGTCTAGACATTGAAAAGTGCTTTAAAATAAGCACCTTGAAGTAGCATTTTTAAAAGAATGCTTAGAAACTAAAAAAAAAAAAAACCTATATTAAATGTTTATACAGTAAACCCCTTATTCAAGAACCTAACCATGGCTCCTAGGTTCAAGAACCAATATTCAGGCAGGTGGATCACGAGGTCAAGAAATCAAGACCATCCTGGTCGACATGGTGAAACCCCGTCTCTACTAAAAATACAAAAAAATTAGCTGGGCACGGTGGCCCGTGCCTGTAATCCCAGCTACTCGGGAGGCTGAGGCAGGAGAATTGCCTGAACTCAGGAGGCGGAGGTCACGGTGAGCCGAGATCGCGCCATTGCACTCCAGCCTGGGTAACAAGAGCAAAACTCCGTCTCAAAAAAACAAAAACAAAAACCAATATTCAAGAACCTGACTATAGCTCTTAAACTTTAGCGTCCAAGAATTATCCGGAGTGCTTGTTAAACATGCAGATGCCAAGTTCTTACCCAGGGAATGTCTGATTCAGTAAAACTGGGGTGGGGCCTAGAAAACTGTAGGTTTCACCAGCATCCCCAGGTGGTTCGGACGCAGGTGTTCCTCAGATTTCAATTAGAGACACTGATCTCAATCCTTGTCCGGGGACACTACAGAGTTGTGTTTGAAGGAAAATGCAGACTCTCTTGCTAAAGTCCTTTCTCAAAACAGCTGTCACGCCAGCACAGACAGGAGGTGATGTGCGTAAGGAAAAAGAGGGAAAGGTTCCTTGGAAGATAATCAATGCCCGAAAACAATGAAAGAGGGTAAGTGGCGTTTCTTTGCAACCTGGGAACTCCATTCTTCGAGCATCTCCCGAACCTGCGAAGATGCTGCTCTGACCCGTCTATCAGGACCAGGCGCTCGGGAGCCGAGCCCAGGTAGGACGCTGGCCGAGGGATAGGAGGGCGTCGTGGCCCCGTGCTCGTTCCCAGGTCGACAGCTGAACCTCCGCAGCCAGGGGAAGACGCCCGCCTGGCTCCCGGGTCTCCGCCCCTCCCCGACCCTGCATCCTCAGCGTCTCGCGCACGTAAACACGTCGCCTTCCCCGGGTCAGCGGCCCCTTACCTGCCGCGCGGTCGCAACTCCGCTTCATCGTCGGGTTCTGGACTCCGCGGCTCCTGCTCGCCCGCGGCCGCCGGCAGCGCCTCAGCGTCCTCCACAGTCACCTCGGCCGCAGCTACGGCCGCCACAGCCGGTACTCGCGCCGGTGAGGTGGGAGCAGCGGCTGCCCCGAGGCCAAATGCCGCCTCCGCCGTCGGCACAGGGAGGTTGCGGGCGCGCCCCGCGGGTACCGTCCCTGCCGCGAGCCCCAGCAGCAGCGGCAGCAGCGGCAGCAGCAGAGCCCGTACCAGCAGTCCCAGGCGGGTGGCTCGCTCCATCAGCGGCCTGCCTCGCGCGCAGGCATGGAGGCGCAGCCACGGGCGCCTGCCTCTCCCGCCGCTCGGAACTCCCACCAGGGCAAGGACACGCTAGGGACCCTACCGTCACCCCGACGGCCTGGACAGCCAGCTGTGTTCCCGGGCCACGTCTCAGCCCGGCCTCCGCCGCCGCTACCTGAGTGACAGCCTCTCTTGGACATAGCCCATTGAGCAAACTTTCCCCGCGTCTGCTCCCTCATTGGCTGCGGCCGCTGCCACTCAATGTTCCCAGGCTGGCCTTGTTAGGGAAGGCAGACTTTCCCTGGTTGTCAACATCGCGCCTACCAATCAAATCGTAATTTCGTCGTTTGAGGCCCGTCCCTATTCCGGATGCAATTACCAATGAAAAATGCCCCTCCCTGCCGTTCTTTTTACCTGATTGGTGTACTTATCAGTTCCCGGAATACCTTTCCTGCAACAGATTGGCCATCGCGGTGATTGGTCTCGCCCCTCAAAGCTAGGCGCTGGGGAACACTTGAAGATTATTGGTAGAAGTGGATGTCCCTCAAAGGTCTGCGCTACCTGCCTTTTGATTGGTTGGAAGCGGCACTTACTACGTGGCGGATTCTGACTGTGAAGAGGACAGTCCCAAGTGAAGACTGGGAGGCAAGTCTCTTGTGACCGAGAAGAGGTCGACCTTAAAGGAGCTGGCATTGTAGCTCTTCTAAAGCCTAGTCTACTTCGGAAGGCGCAAGCGAAACAGGAAGTGGCCACAAAAGTCGTGTGGTCTCTAGAAGTGCCTGGTCCTACTTGTGGCCCCAACGGTGCTCACAAGTCCGCTTGTTAGAGATGGCAGTGATCTGCGACAATCCAGTCCACCCGACACGCCTCCCGCCTCCTTAGGAACGGGAAGAAGCCCCAGCGCAGTGCACTGACGTCTTTTGCCTAAAATCACGTAGCTAGTTGGTCACAGAATCATGACTTTAATTCATGTGTTCTGACTCTGAACTGGCATGCTTTCTACCGCACCGAAGTCAGTGATGAAAGTGCAAAAGGACAGAGTGGAAAAGATTGGAATGTTCAGCCAAGGCATTTGAACTTTTAATACAGCAAATAAGGACTTCCTGAAGATTTTTGAGCAGATGAGTGAAGTGATAAGAAAATGCATCCTCAGCAGTGACGGCATCAATGATGAGGAGACTGGCCAGGAGTCTGTTACCTCCATCAAAACCAGTGAACATTAAAAAAAATTTTTTTTAGAGACAGGGTGTTGCTCTTTTGCCCATGCTGGAGTGCAGTGGCTTGGCCATAGCTCATTGTAACCTTGAATTCCTGTGTTCAATCGATCTTCCTGCCTCAGCTTCTGGAATCACTGGGACTACAGATGCTTGCCACTGGGCCAGGCCAGTTTTTAATTTTGTTGTGTAAAGATGGGGTTTCTGTTCTGGCCAGATTGATCTCAAACTCCTGGCCTCAAGCCATCCTCCTGCCTCAGCCTCCCAAAGTGCTAGGATTACAGGCATGAGCCACTGCACCTGCTCCAAAACTGGTGAAAATTTGTTAAGGTGTTGGCAATTTGGGTATATATGGATTATTCTTCATCTTCATAAAAACATGCTCTAAGCTCTCCCCAGCCCAAGACAAAACAAACAAGAAACCCCCACTTCCCCTTCCAGCTCCTACCACATGTCTTTGTCTTCCTCTGTATGGCAAAACTCAAGTGTTCAAAATTCCTTATCTTCAATTCTTCTTCTCCCATTCCCAGGCACACTATAGTTAGGCATTCACACCCTCAACTCCACCAAAACTGAGCTTGCTGAGGCCACCAGTGCTGTATTCAAAGGATAATTCCTGGTCTTCATTTTATCAGCTGTATTTGAGTCAGCAACTCAAGTCTTTCCTGTTGAGAACACTTTTCACTGGTCTTCCTGCTTTCCATAGTGCAGGTCATAACCCTCAAAAGTTCCCCAGTTCACTCAGGATAAAAGCCAAGTCCTTACAGTAGACTACAGGGTGCTACCACATCTGGTTCCTACAGCTTTTTGGATCTCATTTCATACTGTCTTTGCTCACTCCATCCTGGCCACTGGCCTCAGCTAGCGCAGTTTTGATGGACTTGAGGGTATGAATGCCTGACTGTAGTGTACTTGGCCACATTGGCCTCCTTGCTGTGACAAAGCTGGCCAATCAAGTCCCACCCTGGGGGCTTTCCTTTGTTGTTTTGTTTTGTTTTCCTGCCTAGGAAACTCTTCCCAGGTATATTAGTTTGCTAGAGCTGCCCTAACAAATACCACAGACCAGGTAGCCTGGACAAGAGTTTATTTTTTTGAAGGCTGGAGGCCAGAAGTCCAAGATCAAGGTTGGATTCTGAGGCCTCTCTCCTTGGCTTGCAGATAGCAGCCCTCTTACTGCCTCTTCCTTCTGCACATGTGTGCTTCTGGTGTCTCTTACTATTCTAACACCAGCCAGACTGGAGTATGGGCCTACATTTAACAGCCTCATTTTTACTTAATCACTGCTTTACAGATCTTATCTCCAAATACAGTATAGTTACATTCTGAAACAGTAAGGATTGGAACTTCAACATATAAATTTTGGAGGGACACAGTTTTTCACATAATACCCAGATACCCCCAAGCTGTGTTCCCTCACTTTATTTGAGGCTGTGCTAATCGCAGTAAAGTCTCTCCTCACTACCTTATTTAAAATGAACACCTTCACCACCTTCCTTCACTTTTCTCCTGCTTTATTTCTGCTTAGCCTCAAATACTGTAATTGACATATTTGTTTTGTTTATTGTCTGCTCTGTTTCCCCCCACTTGCATGTAAATTCTGTGAAGATTTGCTCATTGATGTATTCAAAGATATAAAACAGTGCAATCCGTTTAGCATGCATTTAATAAATGTTTGCTCAGTGAGTGAATGAAGAATACCAGAGGACAGAAGGAAAGAGACAACTGGAAAGGAAGAAACTGCAGTTGCTGTAGACAGAGGGGGTTGATTACGAGAGCAAGATTCCAGAGGATCTAGAGGAAAAGGGGCAGCTCTGCCTTCCATGCTGAAAGTAGAGCTTAGGAGGTACCCCTAGAGAGTAAGTTATTTTGAAAAGAAGAGAAAACAGATGAGCGAACTGAAACCAATTATCTTCTCAACAAAATAGGAAATAAAATTGCAAGGTTCTTTGAACTGACTGCACCAGGGACTACACCATAGTGACCCCTCTGACCCACACACACACCTCTAGATGGACTCCCGGAGCCTGAAAGTCTGAGTCAACTTTGTGACACTGAACTCTGTGGCCTGATTTACCAACCTTTCGACATTCCACCATTGTTCTGCCTCAACTGATAAGCCAACCTTGTGACAATGGACCTTGGACCTTGTGATACCCCTACCCCCCGGGTAGCAACCCCCACCCCCCAGCTTGCAGAAACGCTGAACTGTAACTTCTGTAACTTTCCACTGCCTACCCCAAACCTATAAAACCAACTTCTATCCCACTGCCCTCTGCTGACTCTCTTTTCAGACTCAGCCCACCCACACGCAGGTGAATAAACAGCCATGTTGCTCACACAAAGCCTGTTTAGGTGGTCTCTTCATTCAGAGCATGCCTAACAAAAATCTCCCACCTAAAAAGGATTATAATGGTTGGTGTGAGGAAGGTGTTAGAAAATTAACACAAGATGAAAAATGATTGTTAATTACCTGTTTGAAATTAGTGTATATATTTTTAGTGGGCCTGGTCTTCATAGTCTTGTAATTTTTTCAATAAATGATCATGGCATGAACGAGGCTATTAATCTGAGCTAATGAATTAGGAGTCTGCTTGCCACCTGTAAATACTGTGGAAGTTTTGTTTTTTCATTTATTAATATAACATTCAGGGATTCCATGTGACCACCTATAAAGAATGAGAATAAAGATGAACAAAATAGATGTGGTTCCCACCCTTCTGAAGCTTAACACCTCTCTAGGTAGGGAGACAGACACTAACAATCACACATATATTATTAAAACTAAGGTAAGTCCTATGATGAAAAAGGCAGAGTCAGAAGAGCACAGTGGTGAAAAATGCCAGTAAGGAGAGTCAAGCTTTATACTTGGGAACAAAATGCCAATTTTCCATTTTGAAAGAAGAAAAGCCTGAGTCAAGTATGCTGACTGGGAAAATAAATTAAGGAGAGAAAAGAGAGTCTACCTGTTTTAGGACAGCATGACTGTGACTTTGTGGGAGCTCTGGAACCTAGGTCCCTCAGGGAAGTGTAAGAAAGTGGGGACCAGGCATGAGAGCTGGCCAGTGAGGCTGGGCCAGGAAAAGAAGCTGGTGCTCAGGTACCCTGAGCCAGGGTTGCCCAAAACAACTAAGATTCTACACCTGAGTGTGGCCCAGAAAATCAGGAAAATAGATCTTAGATTTAGAAACAGTAGGTTCAACCCTTAACAGAGAGACTGCGTCTGTTGAAATGACATTTGATTGTAAATAACAAAATCTTGCCATATAGTGGCTGGAGCAAGAAGTGGGTTTCTTTTTCTTACTGATGCCACAGCTCCACAGTGATGTTTTATTTAAACTCATGCTCCTTCTATTTCTCCATACTTCATGTGTGACTTTGTTCCTTGTGCCTGTCATCTCACTTACTTGGGATGGCAACTCCAGCATCATTTCTTTATTATAGGTAGGGCAAAGAGGAATGACAAAAGGCATGTAACCACCCAAATTTGCCCCTATCGAAGAGCAATCCAGGAAGCACCACCAAGGAATTTTCACTGACATTTCCCAGGCCAGACCATGTCAAATAGCCACTCAGAGCTGCAAAGAAAGCATGCAGCAGCTAAACAAAATGAGGGTTCTGCTAGTGAGGATAAAAGGGAGAATTTGTAATCAGTTTTCTTGAAGTACAATAAACTAAACCTACTGGAAATATACACGTGGATGAGTGTATATACGACGGATGTATAAACCACAGTCAAGATATAGAACATTCCCATTACTCCTAGAGCTTCCTCTTATCCCTTTGTTGTCAATCCCTCCTTCTACCCGCAGCTTTTAGGTAATCTCTGATCTGTTTTCTGTCACGATAGATTAGTCTGCATATTCTAGCATCTTTCAAAAATGCAGCCATACAGTATGTACTTTTGTGTCTCACTTCTTTCACTCCATATAACATTTTTAAATTTATATATGTTGTTGCATGTCGCAATACTTTGTTCCTTTTTACTGCTGAGTACTATTCTGCTTTGTATATTTCACATTTGTTTATCCATTTACTTGTTGGTGTGCATTTTGTATATTTTCAATTTTTGGACATTGCAAATAAAGCTGCTAGAGTTGCTCTGAGAATATTTATGTACAGGTCTCTGAGTAGATGTAGGTTTTTATTTCTGTTGGGTAAAGACCTTGATGTGGAATAACTGGCTTATATAGTAGATGGATGTTTCACTTTATAAGAATCTGCCAAGCATTTTTCCAAAGTCATGTACCCTTTTATACCCCCACCAGTGCTGCACAAGAATTCAAGTTGTTCTGTATCCTCACCAACATTTGGTAATTGTCTTTTTAATTTTAATTATTCTAGTAGGTATGTGATGGTATTTCATTGTAGTTTTGGTTTGCATATCCCTGATGACTAATGATATTGAGCATCTTTTAATGTGCTTGTTGGACGTTATATGTCTTATTTTCTAAAATGTCTATTAAGTGTTTATAAAGAGAGGAATGTTTATGGGTAGGCACTCTGAGAAGTTTGCCACACAGTAAAATTTGTTGTATTGCACCAGTTACCTATTGGCACAACAATGTTGTGTAAGAAACCATCTCAAAATTCAGTGGCTTAAAATAACAAAAATGTGAACTCTCATACCCTTCACCTGGAGTTGCCTGATCTAGCTAGAGCACGGTTTTCTTATGACAACGGAAGAAACACAATTAAGAGGAAACTTGAAGGGCCTCGTAAAACTACTATTAGAACTGGAGCACTTATTACTGGAGCACTGTGGACTAAAGCAAGGCATATGACTAGGCCTAACATCAAAGAGGCAGGAAAACATGCCTTGCATATAGTGAAAGAAACTGAAAAGTCATGTGACAAAGGGCATGGGACTAAAATGTTGTAACTGTATCAAGAAATCAGCTTATCAATGTTTCTTAAAGTTTGGCCCTGGACTGACTTAATCAGAAGTTTGAGGAATGAGGTCCAGGAATCTGCAGTTTTAACAAATACCCTAGGAGAGTCTACCACAAATACCATGGGAGCAATCAGTTATATCTGTTCCTGAACGTAGCATGAACAATTGCTCCACAATTGCTTTACAATTGTTCATGCTAGATTCAGGAACAGATATAACTGACTGCACACAATGAGATACTACTTCATATATATTAGAATAGCTATTTTTAAAAATTCAATATCAAGTGCTGGCAAGGATATATGAGCAATACCCCACACATTGCTGGTACAACTGTCTTGGAAACAGCTTGGCAACTTCTATTACAGTTAAACATGTGCTTACCATGTAATATGGTTTGGCTCTCTGTCCTCACCCAAATCTCATCTCAAATTGTAATCCCCACATATTGAGGGAGGGACCTGGTGGGAAGTGATTAGATCATGGGGATGGTTCCCCCATGCTGTTCTCATGATAGTGAGTGAGTTCTCAAAAGAGCTGATGGTTTTAAAGTACAGTACTTCCTTGTGTTCTCTCTCTCCTGCCACCTTGTAAAGAAGGTGCTTGCCTCTCTTTTGCCTTCCATCATGATTGTAAGTTTCCTGAGGCCTCCCCAGCCTTGCAGGACTATGAGTCAATTAAACTTCTCTCCTTTATCAGTGACCTAGTATCAGGTATTATCTGACACCACCTATTGGAGTGTAGTGATCAGTGGTCCGGGAGCACCGCAGCCCCTCATCACAGTGAATTCTTAGCCCGGAGGAGGCAGAAAACAAAGTCAGGGCTCCATACAAGTCCTCCAGAGTTAGACCACACAGTCCAGGAGCTGGGAGCTGAGCTCCCAATATCTTCCAAAAATGAAGCTAGTCAGCTGAATCTAGGTTATACAACAATCAAACCCTCAAGGCCATTAAATAGGATAAAAGAAAAAAAATTTAAAGGTCAGCAACCTCAAAGGTTGAAGGTAGATAAGCCCACAAAGATGAGAAAGAACCAGTGTAAAAACCCTGACAACTCAAAAAGTCAGAGTTCTTTCTTTCCTCCAAACAACCGCATTGCCTCTTCAGCAAAGTTCTGAACCAGACTGAGATGGCTGAAATGACAGAAATGAATTCAGAATATGGATAGGAATGAAGGCTATCCATTGAGCTACAGAAGTTATGTTGAAACCCAATACAAGGAAACTAAAAATCATGATAAAACAATGCAGGAGCTGACAGACAAAAGAGCTAGTAAAGAAAAGAACATAATTGACCTAACAGAGCTGAAAAACACACTACAAGAATTTCATAATGCAATCACAGGTATTAATAGCAAGAATAGACCAAGCAGAAGAAAGAATCTCAGAGTTTGATGATGGCTTTCTGATATATAACAGTCAGATAAGAATGGAGAAAAAATAATAAAAAGAAATGAACAAAACCTCCAAAAATATGGGTTATGTAAATAGACCAAATCTGTGACTCACTGGTGTTCCTGAAGGAGATGAGTTGAACAGAAGCAACCCAGAAGGCATATTTCAGAATATCATCCGTGAGAACTTCCTCAACCTTGCCAGAGAGGTCAACATTCAAATTTAAAAATTCAGAGACCCCCAGTAAGACACTTTTAAAAAGATCATCCCCAAGACACTTGATCATCAGATTCTCCAAGGTCAAAATGAAAGAAAAAAATTTAAAGACAGTGAGAGGGAAAGGTCAGGGAAGCCTAACAGTGATTGTTCCCTACAAAGGGAAGCCTATTGGCCTAACAGTGATCCTTTCTGCAGAAACCATACAAGCCAGATGAGATTGGAGGCCAATATTACTTTCCTGAAGAAAATAAATTCCAACTTAGAATTTCATATCTGGCCAAACTAAGCTTCATAAATGAAGGAAAAAAAATTCTTTTCAGACAAGCAAATGCCGACAGAATTTGTTACCACCAGACTTGCCTTACAAGAGATCCTGAAGAAAGCACTAAATATGGAAAGGAAAGACTATTACTGACCACTACAAAAACACACTGAAGTACACAGACTGGTGACACTATAAGGCAACCACATTAACAAGTCTGCAAAATAATCCACTTACATCATGATGACAGGACCAAATTCACACATATTAATACTAACATTCAATGTAAATGGGCTATATGCCCCAATGAAAAGACACAGAGGTCAGGTGCAGTGGCTCACACCTATAATCCCAGAACTTTGGGAGGCCAACATGGGCAGATCACTTGAGGCCAGGAGTGTGAGACCAGCCTGGCCAATATGGTGAAAATCTGTGCCTACTAAAAATGCAAAAATTAGCTGGGTATGGTGGCACACACCTGTAATCCCAGCTACTTGGGAGGCTGAGACATGAAAATTGCTTGAAGCTAGGATGTGGAGGTCAGAGTGAACCATGATCATGCCACTGCACTCCAGCCTGGGTGACAAATCCAGATTGTCTCAAAAAATAAAAATAAAAAAAGACACAGAGTGGCATGGTGGATAAAGAACCAAACTTGGCTGTGTGTGGTGACTCATGCCTGTCATCCCAGGACTTTGGGAGGCTGAGGCAGGCAGATCACTTGAGATCAGGAGTTCGAGACCAGCCTGGCCAACATGGTGAAACTCTTTCTCTACTAAAAATACAAAAATTGGCCATGCATGGTGGCATGCACCTGTAGTTCCAGCTACTGAGGCAGGAGAATGGCTTGAACCCAGGAGGTGGAGGTGTAGTGAGCCACAATCATGCCACTGCATTCTAGCCTGGAAGAGAGAATGAGACTCTGTATCAAAAAAAAAAAAAAAAAAATCAAATAAAGTAAGAAACAAGACCTTTTGAGATGCTGTCTTCAAGAGACCCATCTCTCATGCAATGGCACGCATAAGCTTAGGATGGAGAAAAATTTACCAAGCAAATGAAAAACAGAAAAAAGCAGAGGTTGCAATCCTAGTTTCAGAGAAAACAGACTTTAAACCAAACTTTCAATTGTAGTTCCAGACAAAACAGACTTTAAACCAACAAAGACTGAAAAAGACGGAGAAGGGCATTAGATAGTGGTAAAGGATTCAATTCAACAAGAAGAGCTAACTATGCTAAATATAGGCACCCAACACAGGAGCACCCAGATTCATAAAGCAAGTTCTTAGAGATCTTCAAAGAGACTTAGACTCCCACATAATAGCAGTGGAAGACTTTAACACCCCACTGACAATATTAGCCAGATCAAGACAGGAAATTAACGATGATATTCAGGACTTTAAGCACTGGATCAAATGGACCCAATAAACATCTACAGAACTCTTCACTGAGAAAAAACAGAATATACATTCTTCTCTTTGCCATATGGCACATCTTCTAAAATTGATCACACAATCAGAAGTAAAACACTCCTCAGCAAATGCAAAATAACTGAAATTGTAACAATCTCTCAGATCATAGTACAATCAAATTAGACATCAAGATTAAGAAATTTACTTAAAACTATGCAATTAAATGGAAATTGAATAACCTGCTCCTGAATGACATTGGGTAAATAATGAAATTAAGGCAAAAATCAGAAGTTCTTTGAAACTAATGAGAACA